CGTGTATATTACAATTAGCGCTTTTGCACAATTCACTACTCTCAGCTACTGCATTCCAGTGCTGTCCTTCTATCTCAAAACAATGCTTTGATAGTAAGCTGACCCCAGCAAATTTTGCAGTCCCTAATTGTTTCTAAACTTGAATTTTTGCGTAAATCAAAGGTTGGATGATGTTATAAGTATGGTCAAAGCAAAGCATGGCTTATTCGTATCCTCCACTTCTCTAGGCTTTTCAGGTCTATTTTATTCCACAGCAACTCTTCTATTTTCGCAGCACTTGAACATTTCCCAGTTATTCACACATTTTAGATGAACATATCCAGAAAACCAGAGCATCACAATTAGTTTGCATTATGCAGCCACAAGCTTGTTAAACGCGAAGGGTAAGATGACATATTTTGTATTGATAACGTGAAGCAATATGGATCCACCTACTTCCCACGCATAATCGTTCATTTAAGTTAATATGAATTTTTCCTATTTCACTTCACTTCAAGATGAATTATGCCTTTCACAGGCTTAACTCTCGTGATTGATATTAAGTAGGTTCAAATCTGCGATGCTTTTAACCTATTTAGGACTCTTATAATGTCCTTGGTTTTTATTTGTATTAAAGTCAGAGGCTGTACACGAGAGCCTGATAAAAGCCTTTTGTGCAGTACAAGTGGTGGTTAGCATTCATTGATACTGCTGGCGTGGGCTAGAGTCCACAGACTTCAAGTATGATCACTATAGCTTTATCAGTTATACGTCGTTTTGCTATCCTAAGGCATGTTTTAAAGGGAATTAGTTTTGCATTCTGGTGCAGGTGCGTTTAATGGGATTTATAACGGCACTTTATTTGGATATGTCGTATGACTTGGCTGACTTTTTTCCTTGCAGCTAGCATTCTGAAAGGCGTGAGAAATTGGTGCTTTGCGTGTGCTAACGCCCATTGTTTATGCGTTCCTCCGAGGAGAAGCCTTGACAACATTTAAAAATAAAACACTTGGCTCACAACCACATCATACCTGTTGTTTTTTAAATAAGTTATATAATTTTTCCCTCAATGTAGATAAGGCAGTGTTCAAGGACGTCCGTGTTGCTAATGCTATTTATAACGTCGTGCTTAAATTTTACTAACCACTGAAACCCACTTGTCATGGTAAATATGACTAAATAAAGCTGCCTGTAACTGCAGCATGGCTCCAGCTTTAAAGAAGATCGTGCTCTAAATAGGGTCCTTGATAGGAGACCAGGAGAATCAGAGATGGGGCAAGACAGAAGATTGTGGGTAGATATATCCAAATTTCAATAAATCTCACTTTTTAAAATGCTTTGTGCACTCAGAAAAAAGTGAAGTCACCTTCACATTCAAAAGTAAGTGAGATATTTAAATAGAAAATGATCTCTTGATTCTCATCTCTCATGTTTATCACGTGCATGACAGGTGAAATGTTTACGAAGTTTGGAAAATATAAGTCTTTACCGAAGGTATGTACTCAATTCGGTGTGAATAGACGAAAAATTAACATAGTCCAATGACACCTGATGGTCTGGAATTAAAATGCCCTACTTTGAAAACATTGATTTTGTCAGGCACTGGGGGAGTTTCTATTAGTTATTTTATTAAAAATTTCTTGCATGCCCAAAATGGAGCATACATAGAAAGCGAAGAGGTAGAAATCGAGCATTTGCATTACACATCCAATTATCTCCCAGAGGCTGAGGAAAATGGCGAAAGTAAAAATGGCGACGCCCCAGGTCAGACGACGCAGTGGCACCAAAGCTCCGCGCTCCCCTGACAAGGCAAGCCTCTTCTCTCCTAGAAGCAAGGAAAAGCGCAGAACAGATTGTCTGGCCACAGGGCCGATGTTAGGAATCTAATGTGGATATTAGTTGGCTAAGAAGAGGGGGAATGCCATAGTCATTTTTGTAAACGTCCAGCTGAAATAATCCTATGATATGCAAGGGCCGAAGGATATCATAGGAAGCTCATGCGCTTGCAGATTCCATCAAATGATGGAAGGCACGACTGTTAATTAGTTGGCTTGGTTGACCTACAGAGCGAAGACCTTGGGCCAGAAGTCGAGGGGATTGTCGATCCCAAATGTCAAGCACCGTCTCATGTGGGAGGGTTCTGGTGCGGAGGGGAGTGACCAGTGCAGGTAGCAGGAAGCCACCTATCAGTGCCATTCTCAAGCTTATCAGTTGGATTTGCTTAGACCTTAGTTGCTGTTAAAACAAAATTGTAAAGTGTTTGTAATCAGGATTTTTAATATGCATAGTGCAGCACTTACAAACTACTAATTTATTTTCCTGTTATAAAACCGTTAGGCTAAAGAGACTTTAGGCTGTGTATTTTAAATTGAGGTAATAAAACGCGCTTTTAATTGCCCGGGTTGATTTCACCCCAATTCCAAAATTCTACACCTATAGCAATTGATTTAGAATACACACAACTAATTAGGGCCATGTCTTCTATAGCTAGGGAAATAGGCGTTTGTTTGCTCGGGGAGACGTTGGCACAAAACCTCAGACATTACTGACACTACTTTCTAGTTGAACTACTAATTCACTAAAATTAGCCACATTTAGTTACGCAGAAGCTATCCCTGCCAGCGCAGAACACAGTCAAAGCATGAAGAGTCTACAAAAATACCTAACGAAGAAACCTTTCAAGTACAAACTAAAGGGTGGGTGGGGTTTCTGCACTAACGGAGTAGCCATTTAAAACTGCGGATTTTGAGAGAAGCGTTCAGAAATGCTGAGACGTCGGCTTCCCACAAAGGGCGTGTGTGGACCGAAGTATGGAAAATTCGCTACTAAAAATTAAACCGTAGTTTAATAAATTAGTGTAATTAGCTGTCCTAAAGTGCTAGTGACAACGCAAGGTTTCCCAAAACTTAATTTGGTTAGCTCACAACATGGTCTACCTTTCTAGCCAGCCCTTTCTCCAGTAGCAAAGAATTTACTTAGTCCCCACCACTAGGCTTAATAACTCCCTTTGGCTTTCCGCCGTACTCCCTAACTGTCACTTCCAACCTCTTTCCTTCATC